GGATTAGCAGAAACAGGTCGGAAGGAACCTTAAAGTTGTCTCAAGAAAAGTACATACAGAAGGTACTAAGCAGGTTCAGTCTTCATGATGCAAAGACCAGAAGCACTCCACTTGGAAGCCATCTAAATCTGTCAAAGGACCAATCACCTAAGACAGATTGGTTAGGTGGCGATCTGGATAGTCGAAAAAGTACCACGGGCTACGTGTTCACCTTGGGTGGTACTGTTGTTAGTTGGATGTCCACACTTCAGAAAAGTGTTGCTCTATCTACCACTGAAGCAGAGTACATGGCAATCTCAGAAGCTGGAAAAGAGATGATTTGGCTCAAGAATTTTCTTAAAGAGCTAGGTAAAGAGCAGGACAATTGTGAGCTTTTCAGCGATAGCCAGAGTGCAATTCATCTTGCCAAGAATCCAGTGTTTCATGCAAGATCGAAGCATATCCAGTTGAGGTATCATCATATCCGAGAGTTGATAAATGAAGGAACTTTTTCCCTACAGAAGATACCAGGATCAAAGAACCCGTCAGACATGTTGACCAAAGTTGTCGGTGTTGACAAACTGAGGCTGTGCACTGCCTCAGTTAGCCTTCAAGACTGATAGAGTGAAGGCGCCACCAGAGAATAGCAAATCTTTCTTTATTTTCTTTCTTGATGTAACATAGGTTTGAGGGGGAGATTGATAGGACCAAACCTATTGTTGTATGTGAAAGTAGACAAAACAAAAGAAAGAAAAATCAAAAAGAGATGAAAATATGATGTAAGCGCTTACATCGACATTCTTGTGTTGTAAGCGCTTACCTCAGCATTCTTATGATGTAAGCGCTTACATCGGCATTCTTATGATATAAGCGCTTACCTCGGCAGGGCATTCAAATGCTTATAAATAGGGGTCTACATTTTCATTTGTATATCATCCCAAAACTTCTTCTTTCTCTCTTCAATTAATAAAGAGTTATTCTTTGTGTGGCTGTGGAGTAGGCAAAAATTGCCGAACCACGTAAATCTTGTCTTGTCTTGTCTTGTGCAATTTATTGTTTCTCTCCTAAATATCCTTTTCCTTCTATTATCTTGACACACTTCCTCAACACTGCCATAGTTCATTTTTCACATCTTTAAACTTCATGGGAAAGAATTTCAACACTGCCGGAATTTTATTCCACGGTTGGAACAAACTGCAGGTATAACAGCAGACTGGATAAAAGTATATATTAGTGAACATTAGTGTGTGTACTCAATCGGGAACAGTGCCATTTTATACTTAATTAACTCATTGATTAGTTAAATGAAAAACATTAGTGTGTATACAACAATCAGTTAAGATGGTGCAAGTGGTATGTTCCAATGCTATCTCACAGTGCCAAATATCCAGTACTTCTCTTCCACCTTCCCCTTTTAAGCTATCTGTGTTCTTGAGTTGATAACCAGAGAATACTTTTGCAGTCATGCTTTGTGTCATGGTAACCGTATATCATGACTAAATAATGTTGTTTTCTTTCTGGCTGTTCTTTGATTTTCTTCAACCTACTAGCTTATCCATCCACAGGAAACATTTATTTGGAGAAGTGTGTTGAACCTGAACTGAGAAAAGCCGCGGAATGTTTTACACTGGCTGGATGCTATGAGAAGGCAGCAGAAATTTACGCAAAAGGTAGTTATATCTCAGAGTGCTTGTCAGTTTGCACCAAAGCAAAATGTTTTGACTTGGGTTTGAAATATGTCGAGCAACATGCTGCTCAGGGTAATATTGTGGGGAAAGAAGGTAATGTAATTGAAAAAATTAAGGAGTTCCTGGAGAATTGTGCAACTGATTATTTTAACCTCAACGACAGAGGATCCATGATGAAATTTGTTAAAGCATTCCCTTCAGTGGACATGAAACGCATTTGAAGTCTGTGAAGTGCCTTCATGAGCTGCTCTTTTTAGAAGAAGAATTAGGAAACTTCACCATAGCTGCAGATATAAGGAATTTCTTAAATGAGTCGAAAAACCTTGACTCTAGGAGATACTTTGAGAAAGTTTTCCCCCTCGACCCCCGGGAGTCGTTGCTCGAGAAGAAAATGGTTTCTCTAAGGAGAAGCGAGTTTTCCTTTGACTTACTCCAGGAATTCATCCGAGAAGATATAGGGAAAAGAGGTCGGTTGAGCTATGGACAAATTGGGAGGATCGTGATGATATGGCTTGCCTCGAGAAAACCTTCGGAAGATCTGTACAAGAACATTGTTGGAAGAATTCCAACAGCACCATGGAAGTCATTATTGGAAATTCTTAGCTCCGCAGAAGGATGTCAAAGTGGACCGGTGGAGATTAAATTAGTTAAGACATTTCATGAAGCTTTACAAGAGACCTTTGCTGCGTGTTTGACCGGACAGGAGGACCCTATATCCCCCGCTTGTTTATTGTATCTGATCGAGCGGTTTTTGATTTTGGTGACGCAATTATGTAGGCAAGGAACCTTTTTTACTTCAAGATCCTCATTCATGGAATGGCTTGTTTCTGAGCAATTTGTTGCTGTACCCACTTCACCGCTTGCAAAAGACATGAGCCTGTTGGAAAAAATTTACGATTCTATCCTTGTGATGGTGAAAGTATTCATTTATGATAAATCTACCACTTTTGATTGGATTTCACGATCCAAAATAAAGGATGGTGTTGCATACTATAAGATTTTAGTTTGGAGATCGGTTTCCCTCTTGATCTTAATGGTTTTGAATGTTGGTGCTGCGAAGTACCATGCTGAATTGGCCAATGTGCTAGGTAATGATGACAGCTGGAATCACATTAGAGGGGACTTGCTGGAATCCCTTGTCACTCTTAAGAGTAGCCTTGCCAATGTTGGTGAAATCTCACTCGATGCGATGGGACAAACTTTTCGAATTGCAAAAGATGCTCTTTTCTTTGTCAACCGGCAAGGGACTGCTGCTCCGAAGTATGCTAATAATATCACGTGGGTGCAATTGGGAACAAACCGCCAGAGGGAAGCGATTATAGAGATCGCGTCAGTAACCGGGTCAGACAAGAAAGTACAAATGAATTGGGCAGTCTTTCAGGAATATCTGATCTTTTGAAGCAAAATGATGGAACTTCTGCTAATACCTTGATGAAGGTAATCCTAACTCTCTATAGTAACTTGGAACTTGTTATACAGTGATCTGCTAGCCAAAATTTAAAAATCCTTATTATTATTATTATGATCCATATTAAGGTGCTAAAGTTAATATTTTTTAAGGGGGGAATAAATGCAAACATAAAATTCTTGACTGCTGCAATTACTCTGCTCGGGGAGAAGAAACCTTACGCTGGTGAGGCGATGATTAAGGAAGTGCACAGTATGCTTCAGGAACTGAAACAGCTGCATTCATTGTTGGATACAAGGTATACTGGGATTTCATCACTATGTCCTTCCATGTTTTTTTGGGGGCAAGAGTCTCATTTTTTCTGAATAAAACTTTGGCTGCAGTGATTCAGAAACAACAAGCATTGAAGGACTGTTGAAGAGCTTGTTGTCAAGAAAGCCCAAGCTAGAATCTTTGTTGAATCAGTGCATTGTACCCAAGGGTAGCAGTGAGGAAAAAGTCGATGCATTGAGTGGTGAACTCGAGAAAATGGAAATGACATCTGCCTCTACCGAGTCCGGAAGCAGTAACCAGGGTGCTAAAAAGACACAGCAGAAAGGGAAGGGCAATTCCAAAAACTCTAAGAAGGGTAAAAAGAAGTAAATCAACATGGCAACAATTATATATTGATAGGATAAGCTGAGAGCTCTCATACCTAGTACTCCCTTTTTAAGGTTTAAGTGAACTCTTTTATGGGCTTATCTGTTGCTGTAGGTTAAAAGACATTTTAAGCCGACAAATCATCTATACTATATTAAAAGCACGAATGCCCTTAGCGAAATGTCGTTCGCCTTTTTTACCCTTAAAAATTTAATTTTACACTGGACAAAATAGTAATTTAATTATTTTTTTAATATTTAGGAATAGTTTTAATTCATTCCCTAATATTTAGGACTCCAAAATCAATTAAAGATTGTGTACCAAATCCTTCCTTATTTGAGCTATATAATATAACATATATGTAAAAAAAGAAATCAATTAAAATTTTGTACAATGTTTTGTACGCTTCGTCTGCATGTAAAAACCTTTGATGGGACACTTTCAATTCCTAAAGTTATATTATAAAAAGTATGAGCACTTTGGAATCCTTTCAGCAATAGGAGTCTTTTTTTTTAAACATTAACCAATTAAATTATATATAT